TGACTGTGGTGGTGGTGACTGTGGTGGTGGTGACTGTGGTGGTGACTGTGGTGGTGGTGACTGTGGTGGTGACTGTGGTGGTGACTGTGGTGGTGGTGGTGGTGGTGACTGTGGTGGTGGTGGTGACTGTGGTGGTGACTGTGGTGGTGGTGACTGTGGTGGTGACTGTGGTGGTGGTGACTGTGGTGGTGACTGTGGTGGTGACTGTGGTGGTGACTGTGGTGGTGGTGGTGACTGTGGTGGTGGTGACTGTGGTGGTGACTGTGGTGGTGACTGTGGTGGTGACTGTGGTGGTGACTGTGGTGACTGTGGTGGTGGTGGTGACTGTGGTGGTGGTGACTGTGGTGGTGGTGACTGTGGTGGTGACTGTGGTGGTGGTGACTGTGGTGACTGTGGTGGTGGTGGTGGTGGTGACTGTGGTGGTGACTGTGGTGGTGGTGGTGACTGTGGTGGTGACTGTGGTGGTGGTGGTGACTGTGGTGGTGGTGGTGGTGGTGACTGTGGTGGTGGTGGTGACTGTGGTGGTGGTGGTGACTGTGGTGGTGGTGACTGTGGTGGTGACTGTGGTGGTGGTGACTGTGGTGGTGACTGTGGTGACTGTGGTGGTGGTGGTGGTGACTGTGGTGGTGACTGTGGTGGTGGTGACTGTGGTGGTGGTGGTGGTGGTGACTGTGGTGGTGGTGACTGTGGTGGTGGTGACTGTGGTGGTGGTGACTGTGGTGGTGGTGACTGTGGTGGTGACTGTGGTGGTGGTGACTGTGGTGGTGACTGTGGTGGTGGTGACTGTGGTGGTGGTGACTGTGGTGGTGGTGACTGTGGTGGTGACTGTGGTGGTGACTGTGGTGGTGGTGACTGTGGTGGTGGTGACTGTGGTGGTGGTGGTGGTGACTGTGGTGGTGGTGACTGTGGTGGTGGTGACTGTAGTGGTGGTGGTGGTGACTGTGGTGGTGACTGTGGTGGTGACTGTGGTGGTGACTGTGGTGGTGACTGTGGTGGTGACTGTGGTGGTGGTGACTGTGGTGGTGGTGACTGTGGTGGTGACTGTGGTGGTGGTGACTGTGGTGACTGTGGTGGTGGTGGTGGTGACTGTGGTGGTGACTGTGGTGGTGGTGGTGACTGTGGTGGTGACTGTGGTGGTGGTGGTGACTGTGGTGGTGGTGGTGGTGGTGACTGTGGTGGTGGTGGTGACTGTGGTGGTGGTGGTGACTGTGGTGGTGGTGACTGTGGTGGTGACTGTGGTGGTGGTGACTGTGGTGGTGACTGTGGTGACTGTGGTGGTGGTGGTGGTGACTGTGGTGGTGACTGTGGTGGTGGTGACTGTGGTGGTGGTGGTGGTGACTGTGGTGGTGGTGACTGTGGTGGTGGTGACTGTGGTGGTGGTGACTGTGGTGGTGGTGACTGTGGTGGTGACTGTGGTGGTGGTGACTGTGGTGGTGACTGTGGTGGTGGTGACTGTGGTGGTGGTGACTGTGGTGGTGGTGACTGTGGTGGTGGTGACTGTGGTGGTGACTGTGGTGGTGACTGTGGTGGTGGTGACTGTGGTGGTGGTGACTGTGGTGGTGGTGGTGGTGACTGTGGTGGTGGTGACTGTGGTGGTGGTGACTGTAGTGGTGGTGGTGGTGACTGTGGTGGTGACTGTGGTGGTGACTGTGGTGGTGGTGACTGTGGTGGTGACTGTGGTGGTGGTGACTGTGGTGGTGGTGACTGTGGTGGTGGTGGTGACTGTGGTGGTGGTGGTGACTGTGGTGGTGACTGTGGTGGTGGTGACTGTGGTGGTGGTGACTGTGGTGGTGACTGTGGTGGTGGTGGTGACTGTGGTGGTGGTGGTGACTGTGGTGGTGGTGGTGGTGATCACCGTGACGATGTCTGGAAACAGCTCAGTGAAGACTTTGTCCCTGAGGTTGAAGAGGCCGCTCTGAGCAGCCAGCTGCCTCTTCTGTCGTCACGGAGACGAAGGGGGGGGGGGGGCAAGGAGGGGGCACGGGGGGGGGGGGGGCAATGGAGGGGAGGGGCACAGGGAGGGGCATGGGGGGGGGGGTGAGCATGGGGGGTGAGGGGCACAAAAATAAAAGGGGGGTCCACGTGAGTCTCTACGAGCGAGCGACTGAGCGAGTGACTGACTGAGTGAGCGACTGAGTGAGCGACTGACCGAGTGAGCGACTGAGCGAGCGACTGGGCGAGCGACTAAGTGAGCGAGTGACTGAGCGACTGAGCGAGTGACTGACCGAGTGAGCGACTGAGCGAGCGACTGGGCGAGCGAGTGACTGAGCGACTGAGTGAGTGACTGAGTGAGCGACTGGGCGAGCGACTGAGTGAGTGACTGAGTGAGTGACTGAGTGAGCGACTGAGTGAGTGACTGAGTGAGCGACTGGGCGAGCGACTAAGTGAGTGACTGAGTGAGCGACTGAGTGAGCGACTGAGTGAGCGACTGACCGAGTGAGCGACTGAGCGAGCGACTGGGCGAGCGAGTGACTGAGCGACTGAGTGAGTGACTGAGTGAGCGACTGGGCGAGCGACTGAGTGAGTGACTGAGTGAGTGACTGAGTGAGCGACTGAGTGAGCGACTGAGTGAGCGACTGGGGCGAGCGACTAAGTGAGTGACTGAGCGAGTGACTGAGCGAGTGACTGAGCGAGTGACTGAGCGAGTGACTGAGTGAGCGACTGAGCGAGTGACTGAGCGAGTGACTGAGCGAGTGACTGAGCGAGCGACTGAGTGAGTGACTGAGTGAGCGACTGGGCTAGCGACTGAGTGAGTGACTGAGTGAGTGACTGAGTGAGCGACTGAGTGAGTGACTGAGTGAGCGACTGGGCGAGCGACTGAGTGAGTGACTGAGCGAGTGACTGAGCGAGTGACTGAGCGAGTGACTGAGCGAGTGACTGAGTGAGCGACTGAGCGAGTGACTGAGCGAGTGACTGAGCGAGTGACTGAGCGAGCGACTGAGTGAGTGACTGAGTGAGCGACTGGGCGAGCGACTGAGTGAGTGACTGAGTGAGTGACTGAGTGAGCGACTGAGTGAGTGACTGAGTGAGCGACTGGGCGAGCGACTGAGTGAGTGACTGAGCGAGTGACTGAGCGAGTGACTGAGCGAATGACTGAGCGAGTGACTGAGTGAGCGACTGAGCGAGTGACTGAGCGAGTGACTGAGCGAGTGACTGAGCGAGCGACTGAGTGAGTGACTGAGCGAGCGACTGAGTGAGTGACTGAGCGAGCGACTGAGTGAGTGACTGAGCGAGCGACTGAGTGAGCGACTGAGTGAGTGACTGAGCGAGTGACTGAGTGAGCGACTGAGCGAGTGACTGAGTGAGCGACTGAGTGAGCGACTGAGCGAGTGACTGAGTGAGCGACTGAGCGAGTGACTGAGTGAGTGACTGAGTGAGCGACTGAGTGAGCGACTGAGCGAGCGACTGAGTGAGCGACTGAGCGAGTGACTGAGTGAGTGACTGAGCGAGTGACTGAGTGAGTGACTGAGTGAGCGACTGAGCGAGCGACTGAGCGAGCGACTGAGTGAGCGACTGAGCGAGTGACTGAGCGAGCGACTGAGTGAGCGACTGAGTGAGTGACTGAGTGAGCGACTGAGCGAGTGACTGAGCGAGCGACTGAGCGAGTGACTGAGTGAGCGACTGAGCGAGCGACTGAGCGAGCGACTGAGTGAGCGACTGAGTGAGCGACTGAGTGAGCGACTGAGTGAGCGACTGAGCGAGTGACTGAGTGAGCGACTGAGCGAGTGACTGAGCGAGTGACTGAGCGAGTGACTGAGCGAGTGACTGAGTGAGCGACTGAGCGAGTGACTGAGCGAGTGACTGAGCGAGCGACTGAGCGAGTGACTGGGCGAGTGACTGAGCGAGTGACTGAGCGAGCGACTGAGTGAGCGACTGAGCGAGTGACTGAGTGAGCGACTGAGCGAGTGACTGGGCGAGTGACTGAGCGAGTGACTGAGCGAGCGACTGAGCGAGCGACTGAGCGAGTGACTGAGTGAGTGACTGAGTGAGCGACTGAGTGAGTGACTGAGCGAGCGACTGAGCGAGCGACTGAGTGAGTGACTGAGCGAGCGACTGAGTGAGTGACTGAGTGAGTGACTGAGTGAGTGACTGGGCGAGTGACTGAGTGAGCGACTGAGCGAGTGACTGAGCGAGTGACTGAGTGAGTGACTGAGCGAGTGACTGAGTGAGTGACTGAGCGAGCGACTGAGCGAGTGACTGAGTGAGTGACTGAGTGAGTGACTGGGCGAGTGACTGAGTGAGCGACTGAGCGAGCGACTGAGCGAGTGACTGAGTGAGTGACTGAGTGAGTGACTGAGTGAGCGACTGAGTGAGTGACTGAGTGAGTGACTGAGCGAGCGACTGAGTGAGTGACTGAGTGACTGAGTGAGTGACTGAGCGAGCGACTGAGTGAGTGACTGAGCGAGCGACTGAGTGACTGAGTGACTGAGTGAGCGACTGAGTGAGTGACTGAGCGAACGACTGAGCGAGCGACTGAGTGAGCGACTGAGCGAGTGACTGAGCGAGCGACTGACTGAGCGACTGAGTGAGCGACTGAGTGAGCGACTGAGCGAACGACTGAGTGAGTGACTGAGTGAGCGACTGAGCGAACGACTGAGTGAGCGACTGAGCGAGCGACTGAGCGAGTGACTGAGCGAGCGACTGAGTGAGTGACTGAGTGACTGAGCGAGTGACTGAGCGAGCGACTGAGTGACTGAGCGACTGAGCGAGCGACTGAGTGAGTGACTGAGTGAGTGACTGAGCGAGTGACTGAGTGAGTGACTGAGTGAGTGACTGAGCGAGCGACTGAGTGAGCGACTGAGTGAGCGACTGAGTGACTGAGTGAGTGACTGAGCGAGCGACTGAGTGAGCGACTGAGTGTGTGACTGAGCGAGCGACTGAGTGAGTAACTGAGTGAGCGACTGAGTGAGTGACTGAGTGAGCGACTGAGCGAGTGACTGAGTGAGTGACTGAGTGAGTGACTGAGTGAGTGACTGAGCGAGCGACTGAGTGAGCGACTGAGTGAGCGACTGAGTGACTGAGTGAGTGACTGAGCGAGCGACTGAGTGAGCGACTGAGTGTGTGACTGAGCGAGCGACTGAGTGAGTGACTGAGTGAGCGACTGAGTGAGTGACTGAGTGAGCGACTGAGCGAGTGACTGAGTGAGCGACTGAGTGAGTGACTGAGTGAGTGACTGAGTGAGTGACTGAGTGAGCGACTGAGTGAGCGACTGAGTGACTGAGTGAGTGACTGAGTGAGCGACTGAGTGAGCGACTGAGTGACTGAGTGAGTGACTGAGCGAGTGACTGAGTGAGTGACTGAGTGAGTGACTGAGTGAGTGACTGAGTGAGCGACTGAGTGAGCGACTGAGTGACTGAGTGAGTGACTGAGCGAGCGACTGAGTGAGCGACTGAGTGAGCGACTGAGCAAGTGACTGAGTGAGCGACTGAGTGACTGAGTGAGTGACTGAGCGAGTGACTGAGCGAGCAACTGAGCGAGTGACTGAGTGAGCGACTGAGTGAGCGACTGAGCGAGTGACTGAGTGAGCGACTGAGTGAGTGACTGAGCGAGCGACTGAGTGAGCGACTGAGCGAGCGACTGAGTGAGCGACTGAGCGAGCGACTGAGTGAGCGACTGAGCGACTGAGCGACTGAGTGAGCGACTGAGTGAGCGACTGAGTGAGTGACTGAGTGAGTGAGTGAGCGACTGAGCGAGTGACTGAGCGACTGAGTGAGTGACTGAGTGAGTGACTGAGTGAGTGACTGAGCAAGCGACTGGGCGAGCGACTGAGTGAGCGACTGAGTGAGTGACTGAGTGAGCGACTGAGCGAGTGACTGAGTGAGCGACTGAGCGAGCGACTGAGTGAGTGACTGAGCGAGTGACTGAGCGAGCGACTGAGTGAGCGACTGAGCGAGCGACTGAGTGAGCGACTGAGCGAGCGACTGAGTGAGTGACTGAGCGAGCGACTGAGCGAGTGACTGAGCGAGCGACTGAGTGAGTGACTGAGTGAGTGACTGGGCGAGCGACTGAGTGAGTGACTGAGTGAGCGACTGAGTGAGTGACTGAGTGAGCGACTGAGTGAGTGACTGAGTGAGTGACTGAGTGAGTGACTGGGCGAGTGACTGAGTGAGTGACTGAGTGAGTGACTGAGCGAGTGACTGAGCGAGCGACTGAGCGAGCGACTGAGTGAGTGACTGGGCGAGTGACTGGGCGAGTGACTGAGCGAGTGACTGAGCAAGCGACTGAGCGAGTGACTGAGCGAGTGACTGAGCAAGCGACTGAGCGAGTGACTGAGTGAGCGACTGAGCGACTGAGCGAGCGAGTGACTGGGCGAGCGACTGAGCGAGCGACTGAGCGAGTGACTGAGCGAGCGACTGAGCGAGTGACTGAGTGAGCGACTGAGTGAGCGACTGAGTGAGTGACTGAGTGAGTGACTGAGTGAGCGACTGAGTGAGCGACTGAGTGAGTGACTGGGCGAGCGACTGGGCGAGCGACTGGGCGAGCGAGCGACTGGGCGAGCGAGCGACTGGGCGAGCGAGTCACTCACGGTGTAGTCCGAGGTGTCGATGCTGCCCAGCGTGGCTCCACGCTCCACCATGAAGCTGAGCAGCCCCGTGAGGATGGTGGACACCGACCACGCCGGGTTCCATGAGTCCGGGTGGAAGTCGCTGATCGACAGACACAGCCTGAGGCAGACAGCAGTGGACAACAGACGGGGTGAGCGGGGGGGTGAGCGGGGGGGTGAGCGGGGGGTGTGAGCGGGGGGGTGAGCGGGGGGGTGAGCGGGGGGGGTGAACGGGGGGGTGAGCGGGGGGGGTGAGAGGGGGGGGTGAGCGGGGGGGTGAGTGTGAGTGGCTGAGTAAGCGGCTGAGTGAGTGAGTGGCTGAGTGAGTAGGTGAGTGAGTGGGTGGGTGAGTGGTTGGCTGAGTGAGTGGGTGATTGAGTGGCTGAGAAAGTGGCTGAGCGAGTGGCTGAGTGAGTGGCTGAGTGAGTGAGTGATTGGCTGAGTGGGTGGCTGAGTGAGTGAGTGGTTGAGTGAGTGGGTGGGTGAGTGGGTGGCTGAGTGAGTGGGTGAGTGAGTGGCTGAGTGAGTGGCTAAGCGAGTGGCTGAGCGAGTGGGTGAGTGAGCGGCTGAGTGAGTGGCTGAGTGAGTGAGTGGCTGAGTGAATGAGTGGCTGAGTGAGTGGGTGACTGTGTGAGTGAGCGGTTGAGTGAGTGAGCGGCTGAGTGAGTGGGTGGCTGAGTGACTGAGCGGCTGAGTGAGTGGCTGAGTGAGTGAGCGGCTGAGTGAGTGGGTGGCTGAGTGACTGAGTGGCTGATTGAGTGGGTGGCTGAGTGACTGAGTGGCTGAGTGAGCGGGTGGCTGAGTGAGTGAGTGAGTGGCTGAGTGAGTGGCTGAGTGAGTGGGTGGCTGAGTGACTGAGTGGCTGAGGGCGTGGCTGAGTGAGTGGCTGAGTGAGTGGCTGAGCGGGTGGCTGAGTGAGCGGGTGGCTGAGTGAGTGAGTGGCTGAGTGAGTGGCTGAGTGAGTGGGTGGCTGAGTGACTGAGTGGCTGAGGGCGTGGCTGAGTGAGTGGCTGAGTGAGTGGCTGCGCGGGTGGCTGAGTGAGCGGGTGGCTGAGTGAGTGGCTGAGTGAGTGGCTGAGTGAGTGGGTGGCTGAGTGAGTGGGTGGCTGAGTGACTGAGTGGCTGAGCGCGTGGCTGAGTGAGTGGCTGAGTGAGCGGGTGGCTGACCGCGTGTTGCACTTGAAGCGACCGTTGGGTGTCACCATGTAGATGCTGGGTGGCTTGAAGGGGAATTCTCGCGGGAACAGCAGCCGACCATGGTACAGCCCCCCTGTGGCAGCCACACACACACACACACGCACACACACACGCACACACACACACGCACACACACACACGCACACACACACGCACACACGCACACGCACACACACGCACACACACACACACGCACACGCACACACACACGCACACACACACACACACGCACACACACACACGCGCACACACACACACACGCACACGCACACACACACGCACACACACACACACACGCACACACACACACGCGCACACACACACACACACGCACACACACACGCACACACACACACGCACACACACGCACGCACACACGCACACACACACGCACACACGCACACACACACACGCACGCACGCACACACGCACACACGCACACACACACACGCAAAAATTACAAAGATTCCCCTTATAGCCTTAACAGACTGCAGGGGCAAGTGCTGTTAGCTAACAGCAGCACCCTGTGAAGGCCGGAACGGTACACGAGGGGGTGGGTGGCCAGCACCACGCCCGGCCGCCTTTGTCTCCCCAGTGGCCATGTTTACTTGCACATCGCACCAGGCACTTATTTGAGGCTGAGTTGACCTAGGGTGGGTTGAGTGGGTGGGTGGGTGAGTGGGTGGGTGGGTGGGTGAGTGGGTGGGTGGGTGAGTGGGTGAGAGGGTGGGTGGGTGAGTGGATGGGTGAGTGAGTGAGTGGGTGAGTGGGTGAGAGGGTGGGTGGGTGAGAGGGTGGGTGGGTGGCTGAGAGGGTGGGTGGGTGCGTGAGAGGGTGGGTGGATGGGCGGCTGAGAGGGTGGGTGGGTGGGTGAGTGAGTGAGTAGGTGGGTGAGTGGGTGGGTGGGTGGGTGAGTGAGTGAGTGGGTGAGAGGGTGGGTGGGTGAGAGGGTGGGTGGGTGAGAGGGTGGGTGGGTGAGAGGGTGGGTGGGTGGGTGAGTGAATGGGTGAGTGGGTGAGTGAGTGAGTGGGTGAGTGGGTGGGTGAGTGGGTGGGTGAGAGGATGCCAAGGATGCCCTGGTGGTCCCCCTCTTTAAGAAGGGGGACCGCACAGACTGTAACAACTACAGGGGCATCTCACTCCTCAGTGTGCCGGGAAAGGTCCTGGCAAGGATTATTCAACATCGCCTTGCCAGGCACGCTGAGGAGAGGCTTGCGGAGCCCCAATGCGGTTTCAGGAAAGGGCGGTCCTGCACAGATGCCATATTTTCTGTCTGTCTGCTACAGCAGAGGTGTAGGGAATTCCAACAAGACCTACATCTCTGCTTTATTGACCTGGTCAAGGCCTATGATACCATCAGTAGGCCTGGGCTCTGGGTTGTTCTTCGTGCTTTTGGAGTACCTGACCCTCTGCTCACGATCATTAAGGACCTTCATGATGGTGAACGGGCCAGGGTAAAACTACGTGGCCGGGAGTCAGAGCCATTCCCTGTACACCTTGGGGTGCGACAGGGATGTCCTCTGGCTCTCACACTGTTTAACATCTATTTTGACCACGTAGTTCGTGAAGCCTTCAATAGCTGTACCGGGGGAATCACCATATGGTACAGATATAATGGGAGGCTAATCGATGCCCGGGTGCGGTCAAGGGATGGCTCCCTATTGCTCAACCACGTTATGTATGCTGATGATTTGGTAATAGCTGCTCATTCAGAGGAGGAGTTGGAGACGCTGCTGCTGAGACTGGAGCGTGCCACTAAGAGGTGGGGCCTTACCATCAGCCCCACCAAAACTAAGCACCTGCCTGGGAATTTTGTACCATCGGACACTCCACCCCCACAACTCCCAATCGGTGATGGGGCAGTTGTGGAGAGAGTGGAGAGTTTCCCATACCTGGGCAGTGTGCTTATGACCGGCTCCAGGTTAACAGCAGAGGTTTCACTCGGAATCAGTCGAGCGGCAATATCTTTTCATCGGTTGCGTAACGCTGTGTGGAAGCTACCTGGTCTGTCGCTCCGCACTAAGCTTCAGGTCTTCTCGGCCACGGTCATTCCCTCCCTTCTCTACGCTTGCGAAACGTGGACCCCCCTAATGGAACATCTTCGCCGGTTAGAAACATTTAGGCTGGCCTGCCTACGATCCATCCTGGGTTTAACCAGACTGGATTGTGTGAGGAGCTCAAAAATCCTTGAAAGATCTGGGCAAGGTCCCATCGGTGAGCTCCTCCGGCGGGCAAAGCTGCGATGGCTGGGTCATGTAG